AATTGTTTATTACCATAAATAAAATTTGATATTGCATCTAGTAGAATTTAGTGTAGTTATTTAAATGCCAGGAAAGAAGTCCCTAAGAGATGGCCCTAGCAGAGGATAAACATTATAAGAAAGAGCCAACCCTGCCTAGAAAATAGTTTGCTTTTTGTTGAGGGCAGGTTGTGGGAAAGGCAGTAGTCAGAAATATATGACTTTAATTAATTAATTAATTAACTAAATTAATTAAAGTAATAATGGCAAAAGGCTCTGAAAAACTAAAAGTGTGTTAACTACGATGATTAAATTCACAGTGTTGGTAAATAGGCCCGAAATCACTTGGTCCTTCTTAACCTACAATGCTGAAGACTAATGGAGAATCATTGACCTTTTCCATCTTTTAATAGAATTCTTTCTCTGCCCTGAAATAATTATACTTTTTAGCTCTCATTTTACTGGATTAAGAAAGCCTAATTATTAAATAAGATTACAAAAAGCATCATATGCTTCATTTTAGAAATATTTTATTGACTAAAAACTTAAGTAACATTTTTATATTAATAATTTTTTCCTGCTAGTAGAAAAAATGTTTCTGCTATTTTATGTTTTAAATTTAACGTTTTCTTTTTTAATTTTTAAATTACATTTATTTTTATGAGGGGTGTACATGTGTGCATGCCACAACGTATGTGTGGAGGTCAGAGGGCAACTTGGAAGAGTTGGTTCTCTCATTTACCATGTAGTATATAGCACTTACTATTGCACCAATATCATAATCACCTGAACAAAGAAACTGACTCTTACAGTAAGTTCTTAAGAGTGGGCCCAAACTCGGAGGACACTCGTTTCTCTCTAGCTCTCTATTAGAGACGGTCCATCTCCCAGGACTGTATCTTTGGATCTCTGTTGTCCCCTCAACCTGTGCAGATGGAGCTGACTGTGTCCTCACTCTGTGCTATTGGAACTGTCTCTGGAACCCTGTTTCTTCCACTATGTCCCCCATCAGGCCATACCCATAATTGATTCAAAATGGTTTCTTCAGCTTCATTAGGGAAGTACAAGTTGAAGTTCAGCTCTACTCTTCATCCTCACAGACCATTTGGTCTTTTCATCCCTAGTTCACATTCATCCAAGGTCATATCCATTCCGAGCCTCCACTGTCCAGTGGGTGAGCTTACTGCTTGAACACTTTGATACGTTAATTCTCAAGTGTACCCACATTCATTCATTATATATATATATATATATTTTTAATTATTTACTTAATAACCACATAATTACATTTCATTACAGCATTAACATATTCAATAACAATTTCCAGAGCAAAGTCTTTCAATATTGGCTCTAAATTTTTAGGTTCACATTTGAACTAATACAGTTATACATTATTGTACTCGGTATAAACCTTATAAGACATAAAATTGAATGAGGCTTTAAACTTTAAAAAAGATCTCCATTTCATTTTAGAATATATTGTTCCTTGCAGAAAGACTCATTGTTTTTGCTACTAACACTGAGATGTTGGCGCATGCATCTCTAATCTGTATGCATCTGATTATTATTAGTTCTAATCGGTTGCACTTGGATTCTT